GACAATGATATCATTATACCTACACAATGAACAATGTCAAAGGCTAGTCATACCTCCATGATAGCCCCGATGGAACTTACAGAACTCCTCCCTATTAAGAAGTAATTTCTAATATATATATATATGAAAAAATCCCTAACTGGGCAGTTTTACAATCAACCAGGCAATCCTCTTCGTACATCCTCCACAACTGAACCACAAACAACGACATCTTCACATATGCGCCACCACCGGACAGCAAATTGCGATATTCTTGCTATTCGCTAAATACATTTCCCTTAACATATTCCCAACTCAATGACCTATCAATTAACCAATTGTCAAATTATTATCCAAGGGAATGACAAGGAGAATTTGTTAGTTGATCATATTACTTACTTTTTGTATAATTCATTTATCATTACTTATCAATTCATCGTGTAATATATATTTTACATCCTCTTTTTTGTTGTTAACTAATAATATTATGCAAGAACAATATTACATCTCAAATAAATCTATGTCGCCGAAAAACGAGTTCAATAGATTAACGATTTGTCAACAATATTTTTCTTTTGCAAAATTACAGAAAATCATTACTTCCATTTAATTAATTTCCAAATCACTTAGTCATTTAGTTTTAGTTATTATTTAAGCAGAAAAATAGCTAACAAATGAAGTTACCAATTAAATTTTATATGATTATAATTTAATTAATTAAAACCAATTCCAATCTTTATGTTCAATTAAACGGGTTGAACAAATAAAACTGACTGTGAGCGAATTCTGTTGTAAATACATTGCTGTTGTCATAGGTCGTTGAGCGCAAAATGTCAACGAGCGCAAACATCAAAATGTCTTCACAATTGAAAAATTTTGATTCTCTTCTTGTTCATGACAAAAGATGAATAAATGAATGGTCATAGAGGAATATGTTGTTTGTTCCGGTTTATTGCGTATTAGGATTTATCCCGGTTTATGATATGTTCGGATTGTTCCGATCTAAAGCATATCAGGATTGTTTTGATTTAAAATATATATATACATATATATATTAGGATTGTATTCCAATTTAAAGTATATTAAAGCTGAGTTTTCACAAATAGGTCAGTATTTCTATTAAACTAATATACCATTCCATGGTCTCCTTTTAAAGATTATTTTACTAACATTATATATATATGCATAATGCTTATCCATCAAATTTCCGAAATATCGTTTTTAATTGAAATGTTTAAAATTAAAAAAATAAATTTCATGATTTTAAATTATTCATTCACCAATAGCTGTCATTTCAATCAAAAATTGTTATTAAAACTATTACAGGTAATTATTGCCTTTTTTTTTTTTACTTTCCTTATCATTAACCGAATTGATGTAAATTTATCAAGATATGATGTAAGAAAATTGAAGCAATTGTTTGAAGTTAAAATTTTAAAATCGAATAGAATTTTACATTTCTTACGATCTTTAACCCTTCGAATTGCAACAAATTCGTTACACTAAAATTGAAACCACTTGAATTTCGCTAAACTTTCCATTAGCAAAAAGTTTAGAAATAATTGATAAACTTCAATAAAAGACGAAATGATCAAAAAGAATTTCAACAGTATGCTTCGCTTTTCTTCTCCGTTTCCCCTCCAATTTCCTTCCCAATGGATGAGAGATGAAGAAGACCGAAACTCAATATATCAATTTCAAATTAATTATATATCAGTTTCATCGGATTCAGACTAATTACATACCAATTTCTTGTTAATTACACATCAATTTCATCGAATTCAGAC